CCAGGGTCTGCATGGGGGGAAGCCTCCCCTACAACTCCCCTTCCCGCCCCCCTTAAAAACCTGTTCCATATTTTTCCCACCCATACCCAACAACCCTCCAAGTTCACACCCAGGCTCCTTCCCAGCAATTTACTTACCTCTCCCTCAGCTCCTCCATTACCCCTGAATCTCCCAAGCCTTTGCACTGCTTCTGAGGGGTGCGAAAAATACAGTTCTGTATTGTAGTTTAAATGAATTATTACTCAGAGTTCTGTATTAATATGCCTAGTAAGGAATCTATTTGTCAAAAAACATTTCCTGGATCTTTTTTGTCGTCTGTATTGTTACAGACATACTTGCTTAGAGGTATTTTGAAATAAATGACCAAAATAATTGAAACTGCTGTGATTATATTGTGTTATTTTGACAAACAAAATATGCAGAATTTTAAAATATTGTGCACAGAATTCCACCAGGAGTAACTACTGTACCTCTTTCAAGAGTCTGATTTGTCTTGTGTACCCTCAAGTTTCACCTCACTTAAAAATTAACAAAATCTGGCATCAAAATACAAAAGTGTCACAGCACACTATTACTTACAAATTACTTTCTCATTTTACCATACAATTATAAAAAATCCATTGGAATATAAATATTGTACTTACACTTCAGTGTATAGTTTACAGCAGTATAAACAAATCATATATGAAATTTTAGTTTGTACTAACTTCACTAGTGCTTTTTATGTAGCCTGTTGTAAAACTGGGCAAAAATCTAAATGAGTTGATATGAGTACCCCCAGCGGTACATGTACCCCTGGTTGAGAACCACTGTACTGAGCAATCTGGCTGCTAAATTCCATTTGGTGCAGACTTTAGTTTCAGGCATGTCCTCTTAAAGAACTGAGTTGAAATTCCAGTAATTATTGGTATTCAATCCAATCCTGTCTGGAGGCCGTAAAGGCAGAGAGAGATGCTACTCAGTCTTTTTTTCATAATCAGTCCAGCTTGAGCCTTCTGTATTGATTTCTTTCTTATTAAATATTGCCCTTTCCTGACAATGTATGGCTTAAACAATTTACCTCAGCAGCCACAGGAACCAGAGTTCCAAAGTGCAGAAAATCAATGACAATTTTTAAAAACTGCACTATAGTTGTACAACCGTTTACTGTACAAGCAATGGTTCTCTACAAAACAAACGGCAAGCTCCCAATCTATTTCAATGTATATTGCTGACTAGATAGTGTCCAGCACACGTAACACCAATAGTTTCCTCTTTAACTTTTTAAAAGCATACGTACTTGTTTTGTGTATGGTACTCTCTGCAAAAGCATCTCAAAGACTTGTGGTGGTAGTGTATTGTGCAAAAGCTGCAGTAGCTGATGTGGCTGTGCGCACACTGAAATAGCATTAGTGAGGTGCTCCACACTCTTCTTATGTTCTCCTGAAGCAAATTCATATTTTCATACATTTTAGAGTTGATTGGAAAACATTTTCTCCCCATCCCAGGAAAATTTTTACTTTTCATACCAACCCCCTCTCACAAAAAAAAAAAACTCCCCCCCCCTCCGTTTTTTGGTTTTCCAATGAAAAGTCAAGTATTTGAGGAAAGTAGACCCCCTTCTGCAAAAGTGTTCATTTACTCAGAAACCCAAGTTTCCATAAATGCTTGGTGGAGGGGCTACGTGAATTAGGGAGAACAAAGGAGTAATTTTAAGTGATTGGGCTAGTGCCAGGATTTGTGTCTTTTGGGGAAAGCTCTTTGGGGTGGAGGGTGCAGTGAGAAAGGTGAAGGAGAAGGCAGTTGGGATGTAATAGGAATCTTCTTTAGCACATTTCAGTGGCTTTTTTAAAATTCAGTTTCACTTAGGGCTTGGCTACACTTGCGAGTTACAGCACAATACAGGAGCCCCGGGCGCACTAGCTCACTCCCCGTCCACACTGGCAAGGCCCGTAGAGCGCTTTGACTCCGCGGCTACAGCACTGCTGGTACTCCACCTCGGTGAGTGGAATAACGTTTGCTGCACTTTGGCTACAACGCCCAGGCGTCAGTGTGAACGAGGTGTTGCCTTACAGCGCTCTGATTGACCTCCGGAAATGTCAAATAATCCCCTTAAGTCAAGTGGCCACTCTTGTCATTGTTTTGAACTCCTGTAGGAATGTGAAAATGCCCTTTCATAGCTCCGTTTCTGACAGCCGACCTGCAAGCCGTTACTGTGGAATGCTGTGTGTGAGAGAGAGGCAGGCGAGGGGGAGATCTGCTGCTCTCTGAACTTACAAGACAGCATGCTGACATGCTCTTAGCCCCCGCAAAACCCACTCTCTCTCCCCCCACATACACACAACACTCCCTGTCACACTCCACCCCACCCCTCCCATTTTAAAAGCACATTGCAGTCACTTGCATGCTGGGATAGCTGCCCATAATGCACTATTCCTAATGCCGCTGCAAGTGCCGCAAATGTGGCCACGCCAGTGC